CATTAACAGCCCCCATAATAGTTATCTGAAAGGTAAAAGAGTATAGTTAACACTGTCTACTAAAATTGAATTATTATATTTTTTCCAGTTATCTTTCTTTGGACAACATTAACATACAGAATCATTTGTACTAGAATTCAATAAGCAATTTTTTGTTTTTGTCTTTCTTTGGCATTATTTCCTTCATTTTATATATTTTTTTTATTATATCAAAAATATTAAAGTTCAGTATACTTATTGAAGATCAACTCAGAGTTTTGTGATGATTCACTTTTTAGGATCCATATATATATATATATATATATGCACTATAGTGGCTACCAAACAGTCACTCAAGCACATTTGAAAAACAGTTTAAATAAAATAAATGGAGCCTCTACTCAAATATGAGTATCCGTTAAAAATAACATTTAAACTGATAAAAATCAGTCGGATGAATAAATGAAAAATCCATCACTTCTTTAGAATATATACATATAAGTTGATGGGACAATTAATCAAAAAATTGACCTTGTGTCACAAACTGTCCTTGTGGTGAGGCAGTTAAATTACAACAATTTGATTTTATATTATTATTGTTCTCATCCTTATGAAGATTTTAATCATTTTTAATCTTATTTTTATTTTAATGTTTTGTAATAGTTAAGAATCTCATACCTTATAAAATGATCAAGTTGGATATCACCATCATTTAGCTTTCAAATTCCTAATATTTTTTAAAATTTATTCTAAAGTTAACTAAAATTGCTTATATCTCTTTAACAAAAAAAATGTATATGCTTTTCTTGTGTTATTGCACTTCTATTGTTTCTTTTAACAAAAATAAAACACTGATTCTTTTTAGAAATTAAATTTTTTGGTTGTGAGAAATTTATTTCAAACAGTAAAACTTATTAGTGATTGCATTTTTTAGACAAGATTGAAGACCCTTTATTATTTAATTTAATTCTTATTAAATGTCTGTAAGCAAATTTAAAATTTGCATTTTTTTAATTTTTTTTTTTGACTGTCCTGCAGGATCAGGTACTCTTTGTACTTTATCAAAATTCAAAATATAAGCATGAGTTAAACCACAATACATGGGATGATGCCTTTCTGCTTAGAGTATTATTGCTGCAATATATATATATATATATATATATATATATATATATATTAGGATGTCTCTTCTTTTTGAAGTGCATGCTGAAATTGAATTGTCGCCCCTAAATTTGATCCATTCATTGAAAAATGCCATAAAATTTTGAGATTCCATAATATTTAGAAGGCACCTTTGCTTGTTAAAATGTAAAAAAGGTGGGGGGGGGAGACCCTTTTTTATTTTATAATTAATAGCAAACCATTATTAGTTGAATCTTTACAAATTATATACATTAGAAATTTATAAACATTTTTAATCTAACAGTGAAAAATTTAAATTTTAACTGATGTTTATTATTTTCAATCCCCAATTATGGCAAGTGGATCCAATGCCAAGCAGAAAAGTGTAGTTTGGAAGTTTTTTGTAAGATTTCTGTTGATAACCAAAGTAAAGCAATATGTCAACTGTAGTTAAGTACTTAAGTGATTTACATAAAGAAATTCTTCTCTTTATTGTTTAAACTCCTACCCAATTTTTTTAAATAAAAGAATTTCTAACTTTATTCCATAAACTTTTGTATTCGTTTTTCTACTAAAGGTTTTATAAATAAATGTATTTTGTTCATTAAGTTTTGCAAACCAAGTTCAGGGCTGAAAATAATAAATTTTAATGATAATCATTGTAGATATTAGGAATCATACCAGAACCAGAAATTTAAAACATTATCAGGAATTGTATCAGAATCAATATTGTTATTGTTCTATCACTAATATAAAAAATAATAAAATATAGTTTTAAGGTATGCTATATTTATGGGTTAAAGTGCTCAATATCAAGGAAAGAGTGTATGTAAATATGAAAGTGGGCATTGAAGTCAACATCCAGAGGTGACAGTTTCATGCTAAATGCAATTGTTAGGACAATTGCATTTACCTTGAAACAGACTATCACCTCTGGGTGTTTAATTCAATGCCCACTTATATATATATATATATATATATATATATATATATATATATATAAAATACACTAAAAAAACTGTTCACATCGCTACACAAAACTTTCATGATTCAGTACTAAGATGGTACCTTTTTAGGTGACAATAGATAACTAATGATAAAAAAAAATTATAAAAATACCCTAATAAATCATTTTTATCATTAGTTATCTACCACTGCCTAAAGAGGTACCATCTTCATACTGAAAGACAAAAGTTTTTGTGTAGTGATATAAAATGCTTTTACTGTAATTTATTATAATAAAAATACTATAACATTTTGTTCTACTTTGTATTGAGCACCTTTTTAAAAATAAATGCTACGAGTTGTGGATTTTTACTCCATCTGTTCTTTATCTCATTTGGAGATATATATATATTTATTTGTGTGTGTGTGTGTGTGTGTGTGTGTGTGTGTGTGTGTGTGTGTGTGTGTATATGCCAAATATTAAAATAGAATTCAAGTTTGAAGAAATAGATCTCAAATATCTATCTCAGCTCCCACAAATCAGACTGTTTCAAATGGTAGTGGATTATTTGGTTTTGATATTTTCACTAGCAAGATGGTAATAATGAATTCTTGATGGCATGATAAATGTGACATTACACACTGAAAAAAATTAAAAAAACTTAAGTTGAAAATGCATTCTGAAAAGTGAAAGAATAACATTTTTAAAAAGTTGTTTTTTGAGAATTATGGTAAAAAAAAATCCATTGATAAATTTTGACTAACAAACAAAATACAAAAATTCTTAACAAATGTCATATTCCTTTCCTAAGTTGAATAGGAGAGAACGTCAATTTAGAATACAGGAAAGCGAAATGTTTGTCATGTGACTACATTTGTGCTAAAACTTACTTTTGTCAAGTATAGAAAATGGTTTCATAAGGAAATTTCAAAGACATTTACAAATTGCATTTTTTTTTTTTTATTTATTCTTTTGTACCTTTTCCTAGGGACTCAAAAAAAAAAAAAAACATTGTTAATGTTATCCTGTTTTAAATGAATTGTATTTGTAGTATCATACCTGATAAAATACAGGCCTGAAAGCATATTCAATCAAGATTTCATTTCAAACACATCAAGACACTATATAAACACACACACACACCTACATATGTAATAAATAAGAGTTTTATGGATAACCTGCCCAATGTAATGGATAAACTTTAAGAGGTTTTTGGCTTTTAATATTAAAATCCACCAAGCTTTCTTTTCCTTTTACTTTTTCAAATGACATAGAATGAAAAATTTTGTATAAGTTGGATTTGTAACATGATAAGTCTTCTTTGAAAGTTTAATACAATTAACTTTCCAGTATTTACATTGTGTATATCAAAAATTACACACCAGCATACACGTGAGGCATACACAGAGTAATTTTGGCTAATTTACTTGGTGTGATGATAAATATTAAGAAGTCATTTCATAAATCTTCCCAAGAAGAATGGTTAAAAGTAGCTGAGGGGGAAGAAAGATCAAAGTCAACGATGGCGCTTAGCAAGTATCAGAGGACCAACCACCATACAATGACATTAATCATGTTCAGACATAGAATCAGTGAGAGAAAATGTAAGAAAGCTGATGTAACAGAGGCACACAAGCATGGCAAAAATCTTATCAAATATCATGTTTTTTGCATAAAGAGGTGAAAACGCTTTCATGGACAATTTTCATATGATACTTGTTTAAAATTTGCTTATTGAGTGTTATTAAATAAAAGTTGACAATTAATAATTATGTTATGCCCCCAAAACATGAGTGGGAAAAAAAAAAAGATGTAAGATATTAAAGGAAAAATGAAGAGGAAAAAAAAAAAAAAAAATAATAATAAATCGATATTTTGCCCATTGACAACAATTTTAAAGAGCTGAGAAATATGTGGTATTCAGAGAACAATTATACAGACAATTGTCAAGCAACATAATTTAAACAACTAATATTAAAATTGGCATAGGATTGGTCTTGCACTGATGACAGACGTAACCAGTGATGCTGTTAGGAGTGCACAAACTGTACCAGCTAACAATATTAGAAAAGGATGACACTAAAATCATTATAGATTAAATTGTGGCTGGTTGGGGTTGTTGGTGTTCTCATTGTCATTGATTTTGTCAAAATCTTTTGATGTTGAAGTAGCAATATTGTGGTCATGAGTCATTATCAACCTGGATCAATTGCAGTAACAATGAGAAGGGGGAAAACAGAAACACTTCTGTTCAGTCAGTGGATGTGTGGGTGTTGTAATGAATAAAAACACTGAATGAGAAAACCTAGTTCAAATTCCTGTCAGGTTTGTTACTGTCACTTATGCGCAAGTACCCCTGAGAAATATATGAATCCATCTCTACATATCCCCAAGCTATGTGTTCAATAAAAGGGCAGTTAGAGTTCTGTAGCCTTGGTTATCAACCAGTCTAGAAGACAATTCTAAATTTAAAAATTGTATGATAAGTGTCCAACAATTTGCTTAACCTTAAAATTAAAGAATCTTAATGTAGTTCTTCAACACTTATTTTGTATTTTATTTTTTTCTGAGAATTTTCACTCAAGGCATTTAGATAAAAATAAATAAATAAATTCAGGCTGAGCATATATTTTAATAAATTTCATGTTATTACATTTGTCATCACATTGACAAATATATGCCTTACAAGTAACAGAAAAAAAAAGTTTCTACTGAGGGTAACACTAAATTATCCCACTAGGTGAGACCAACTATGGTGAAGCCATTGAGAGTGGCATCTTTCTTGCTGGGAGGTAAGAGGATTACAAAAGTTTGCTTAGTCGGCCACTTTTGTGTCTTGACCATTGAGATATGCAACTGATATTTTGTCACGGTGAGGAGACAGAAATAAAATTATACCGTCCCCAAGGGCATTAATACAAAGTGATTAGAAACAACTTGGTTTAAATGTGACTTAAGAGTCAGCTGAGGGAGAGAGAGGGAGAGATGACAAAGCAATTCGGCTGAAAGAGATGAGATAGTTAATCCGTTGACAATGATAAAAGGAAAAAGTGAGTTGATTGAGATATAGAGAAGAGAGAAGAGAAAATGAGAAAAGACTTGTGAGGGAGACAAAGAGATTCTCACAAAGAAAAAAAGAGATGCACAGAAGAGAAAAAGGCTAGAAAGAGAGAGCAAGACAAACACATACAGGAGAAAATACTTAGAGACACACACACACACACACATACCCTGAGAGTTAAAAAAAAAAGCTAGAGAGGGTTAAATGCATATGAAAGAGGAAAGTCGAGAGAGAGAGAGAGACACACACACACACACACACAGAGGAGAAAAGTCTGCAGAGAGAGAGAGAGTCATGCACACAGATGAGAGAGAGGCAGATACACACTCATGAAGAAGGTGAAGGTAAGAGAAACACACATACACAAGAAAAAAGGACTAAAGAGAGAGAGAGATAGAGATATGCACATAGAGAAGAAAAAGGCGAGAGAGAGAATGCACACAGAGGAGAAAAATAGTTCCACAAAGAGGAGAAAAAAATCTAGAGAGAGACACACACACACACATAAAGGAGAAAAAGTCTAGTGAAGAAAACATGCAGAGAGGAGAAAAAAGCTGGAGAGAGAGAGAGAGAGAGAGACACAGGAAAAATATGCAAGAGAGAGAGAGAGACACATAGTGGAGGACACCAACACAGAGGAGAAAAATGCTAGAGGAGAAAACGGCTAGAGCAAATCATGACAATGAATATCTGGAAATAAGATACTTGTCATCAGAAATGCTTTACTTAGGGATTAGAATAGTGTCTATACAATGAGAAAATTTTAGTCTTTCCCTTTTAATAGGGAGTTAAACTTCACTCTTCAAATATACACAGCTACTTTGATATCAACAACTGTCAACTGAACTGTGTGAGTGTGTGTGTGTATATATATATATATATATATATATATACATATATATATATATGCGAGAGAGACAGAGGTTGCCAGGTGGGGTAAGATCTGGTAAACATAGCCTAACTTTTTAGATAATAGGTTATGCGGTTGACATTCGTTTTTTTACAGAGAAGGTAAAAAGTATACATTCTGTGCCAGAGAACAGTGTAAATAATCATGTTGAGGAGGACAGTGTCCCAAAGACTGAATGATGGTGATAAAAAGAATGTTGTTTTGATGAAGAAGCATGACACCAATTACATACACGCCAAATACAAGCTGGAAATGCAGTTAGACAAGTTAACACCCAAAAGAACCTATCTGGGAGTAACAAAGTGACTCAAGCCAAAGTATAAACATCTGTCATTATTTAAGATGCAGGGATTAGTCAGGCACAAGGCAACTGTAGTGAAAGACCCACAAGGTTTTAGTTTACAAGATGAGCTTGTAAACTCTTACACCATGTTATGTTTATTTGCAAAACTTAGCTTCAGCAAATAAGGACAAAGAACAAAGAGAGAGAGAGAGAGGCAAAGAGAGGCAAAGAGAGAGAGAGGCAAGAGAGAGAGAGAGAGGCAAGAGAGGAGAGAGAGAGGCAAGAGAGGAGAGAGAGAGAAACAGAGAGAGGAGAGAGAGAAGAGAGAACAAAGAGAGAAACAGAGAACAGAGAAAAGAGAGAGAGAGAAACAGAGAACAAAGAGAGAGAGAAACAGAGAACAAAGAGAGAGAGAGAAACAGAGAACAAAGAGAGAGAGAGAGAAACAGAGAAGAAAGAGAGAGAGAGAAACAGAGAACAAAGAGAGAGAGAGAGAGAAGAGAAAAAGAGAGAGAGAGAGAAACAGAGAAAGAGAGAGAGAAACAGAGATCAAAAGCAGAAAGAGAGAGAGAGAAACAGAGATCAAAAGCAGAGAGAGAGAGAGAGAAACAGAGAACAAAAGCAGAGAGAGAGAGAGAAACAGAGATCAAAAGCAGAGAGAGAGAGAGAAACAGAGAACAAAGAGAGAGAGAGAGAAACAGAGAACAAAGAGAGAGAGAGAAACAGAGAACACAGAGAGAGAGAGAAACAGAGAACAAAGAGAGAGAGAGAAACAGAGAACAAAGAGAGAGAGAGAAACAGAGAACAAAGAGAGAGAGAAACAGAGAACAAAGAGAGAGAGAAACAGAGAACAAAGAGAGAGAGAAACAGAGAACAAAGAGAGAGAGAGAGAGAGAGAGAAACAGAGAACAAAGAGAGAGAGAGAAACAGAGAACAAAGACAGAGAGAGAAACAGAGAACAAAGAGAGAGAGAAACAGAGAACAAAGAGAGAGAGAGAAACAGAGAACAAAGAGAGAGAGAGAAACAGAGAACAAAGAGAGAGAGAGAAACAGAGAACAAGAGAGAGAGAGAAACAGAGAACAAAGAGAGAGAGAGAAACAGAGAACAAAGAGAGAGAGAGAAACAGAGAACAAAGAGAGAGAGAGAAACAGAGAACAAAGAGAGAGAGAGAAACAGAGAACAAAGAGAGAGAGAGAAACAGAGAACAAAGAGAGAGAGAGAAACAGAGAACAAAAGAGAGAGAGAAACAGAGAACAAAAGAGAGAGAGAAACAGAGAACAAAGAGAGAGAGAGAAACAGAGAACAAAAGAGAGAGAGAGAAACAGAGAACAAAAAGAGAGAGAGAAAGAGAGAACAAAGAGAGAGAGAGAAACAGAGAACAAAAGAGAGAGAGAAACAGAGAACAAAGAGAGAGAGAGAAACAGAGAACAAAGAGAGAGAGAGAAACAGAGAACAAAGAGAGAGAGAGAAACAGAGAACAAAGAGAGAGAGAGAAACAGAGAACAAAAAGAACAAAGAGAAACAGAGAACAAAAAGAACAAAGAGAAACAGAGAACAAAAAGAACAAAGAGAATAAAGGAAAAGGAAAGAGCAAGAAAGAAAGATGATCCTTTACCATGTAGGTGGTCATGGCACGGTACAACTTCCTTTTTCTACTTTAATATCAGTACTATTTTTTTTTTTTTTTTTAAATCAGCATCACTGTTCTTGAGAAGTGTAGTAAAATGTTTACTCCTTTGGCTTTCTCCATGGTTTTAAATTTAGAGTCACTCTTCTCACAGAGAATTCAGTCTGCCTTGATGTTTTGCCCCTAGTTGGGCATTGGGAGAGAACAATGGATTCATGCCTTTCCCAAGTACTTTATACTAAATTAACTACAACAGCCTCAAGCAGAATTTGAACTCACAGTGTTTAGGTATGCATCCAAATATCCAGATGACAAGTGCTTGACAGCTGATCTCTTTGATCTAACTCTCACAGCTCAATGGCGGAAAGACTGACTGGTATCATTCAATACCTCAAAAATTTAGTACCATTTCATCACCAAGAAGATCTTAAACCTGATGAGAGATCATACCTGCAAATAGGCTCTTTACCTCAAATCACCTATTAGGTCTGAAGTTCACTCCTGACCTCAAACGGAATTCATGCCATCACAAAAGATACTGGAATAATTGTCAGTTCCTTGTAACAGTCCAGAAAATGTCACTCCTGCTGCTATGCTCTATTTTGACAAGACTCATCTTTGTCGGTGATTAGTTATTCTCCAGCCTACAACTCTTATAAATATTACTAGCATTTCACTACCATTACTATTATTATTCCAGATGTTTGTAGTTACATTCCTCAGTTCCACCGACTCAAGATTTCACAGTTAGGACCTCTGTTCATGGTGGCAAGTTATCCTCATTCCCTTTGTGTCGCTTTGATAAGGAGCAAGTTCTACTCAGTCAGCTTCTTCTACAGAACAGTTACTTTAGAGAACATACACCCAAGAGTATGCTTCCCAGATAACTACAATCTAAGTCTCCTTAAGTCCAAGGTCAACTGATATCTATCTTACATGTTCACATAATGTGCAATTCTTAATCTCTCCTTCAACCTCCATTACAAAAATATTACTCTACCTTAATTGGCTCTTGTGTCTTAATAATTGCATTAATAGAAAAAAAGAAAAGAATGAGAATTTTTATCAAGAGCCATTTCAGAAGACTACAAACTAAACATTGAATAAATATCAGGATCTTCTTGCAAGTCATTTTAATTGGAGAATATAAAATTCATAGTAGGGCACCTCAAGGCAGTGTAATGGTTAGCAAGCTTTTCTTGAGAGAATGATTACAACTGAGTAATGAGTTCAATCCTCAATGGGTGTCCCATAATTTTGGCCTTGTGCCTCATCTAAGTTACACTTGGAAAATCACTATAAAGTTCACAGTGGTACCCATAATTATTAGAGCACTTGGAATACTTTGAAAGAGGACTGGGAGAAAGCTCTCCAGGTAATGGGTAAAATTGGCAAGGTGCTCAATAAAAGCCATTGGCTCTACATGTTTGTCTTGTCTGGTATTCACACATTGGGAGCACTTCTCTCAACTGGAAAACAGAAAAAACACTGGTGTTATATAGCTCTCTCTCAGTCCCAGACCCATACTGACTGATGGTTAATACCTGCCTAGTATTGTTTATATGCAAATAGTCTGTACCACCAACTCTAGATAGGTCTTCTCTCAACAACCTATTGTGGAAGAGGACGTAACTCTTGGTGCTCTACAGCACCACATACAACCAACTTGGAGTCTCTTCTCGGGCCCCACCCAATTCTCTGTTACACTCTCACTGACGAGAAATATAACAGTCAAAAGTAAAACAACTAGGCAAAGAGATTAATACTTGAAACAACTATTAAAAATAGTATATAATACTATTAGAATTTGTACATTACACATTACTTAAAGATGTACTGGGAAATTCTGGGTATGAGAATATTTGAAATATTTCCAACATGTTTATAAACAATACTTTTGACATTTAGGTTGTAAATTTAAACTCTTTAGGGTGGCTTATATTAAGTGCTGAGTCTTATGGGGGCCTCTTCTAACTATATTCTAGTTTGCAGGTTTTGTGCTCTTGGTATGACACTTCTTGCATACTTATTCAGTTCTCTTGAACACCTCTCTAATGTATTTACTCACTTGATCAGACACAGAAAGTATTGTGAATTGCATTCCCAAGAGACAAAATAATAGACTATCATCTTAACAAAGATGAGTTTTATATCAGGAAATGACAGGAAATTATACTTGTTTGGATTTTTATAACAATAAAACAAAGAAAACTATCAGATTATAGCTTCAGACAAGTTTTCATTAACAAGATAACAGTTCACTTTCTGGAATCTTCTGATAGTGACAAAAATCATCTAAGTTTCTAAAGGTACAGGTAAAAATGTTATCTAATGTTTAAGGTCCCCCACCAGGTGCTATAGCTCTTCCTCATTTAAAAAATACTTCTGGTTTAGGTTGGATTCAATCAATGCTTTGTAGGTGACGTCTGGTGTTTGGGCAAAATAAAGAAGCAAAGAAAATGAAAGAAGAAAATGATTACAAGATTAAAAGAAAAAGGATAAAAAATGATTTGAAAAGCCAGAGTGAAAGAGAAGGAGACTATCAGGCATTGTCAAGTGAGCATCAAAGACAATGAATGCAGCCACTCATCATACCTTTCAATATGTTTCAAAGTTATCAAGCACTTAATTTTTTAATATAACAAAAAAAAAAAAAACAGATTCAACAGATAAAGAGGGCACAAAGAAAGATGACTCAACAGTCATTGTGGGGGGGTCAAAGAGAGGGGACGACTTTGGCGATAGGAGCCGGGAGGAGGGGGTCAAAGAGAGGGAACGACTTCGGTGATAGGAGCCGGAGGGGGGGGGTCAAAGAGAGGGAACGACTTCAATGATAGGAGCCGGGGGGGGGCAAAGTGAAGGAACGACTTCAGCGATAGGAGCCGGGAGGGGGGGCAAAGTGAGGGAACGACTTCAGCGATAGGAGCCGGGAGGGGGCAAAGAGGGGGACGACTTCAGCGATAGATAGAAGGGGGGGCAAGAGGGGGGCGACGAGCGATAGGGAGGGGGGGCAAAGAGGTGGGCGACTTGAGCGATAGGAGCCAGGGGGGCAAAGAGGGGTGACGACTTCGGCAAATGAGCCAAGGGAGGAAAAGAGATAGGACAACTTCAACAAGAGAGGTGAGAGAGGCAAAGAAAATGGAAAGCTTTGACAAAAGAATCAAGGTTGCAAAAAAAGGGGAGGATTTTGACAGAGTGAGGGGGCAAAGAAAGAGTCAGAGTCAACAGACAGTGAGAGAGCAAAGAAAGTGTAGAATTCATCAGAGCCAGAGAGCAAAGTCTGGGGATGCTTAAAGAGCGAGTGCACACAGAAATGGGGAGGCTAAACGAGCAAGTAAAAGGAGGATTTAAAGTGAGAGTGCAAAAAAAAAAAAAAAGGTGATGCTTAAAGTTCAAGAGACCAAGAGGGTAAAGTAAGCAGAAGTTTCAATAGACAACGAGAGGGTAAAGAAATAGGGAAATTCACCAGACAGTGGAAAGAAAGGGGAGGAATTGATAGAAAGTGAGAGGACAAAGAAATGGAGAGGCTTAAAGAGTGAGAGTGCAAAGAAATTAGAATTTTCAAGACAACGAAAAAGAGACAAATTATGATTGTGGATGAAATGTTGCAATGAACTTGATTTAAAAAAAAAAAAGAAAAAAAAAAAGAAAAAAGAAAAAAAAGAGCCCCTCAAAAAGTAGGAGCCATCCAAAATCATCAGAGAAGAGAGAAACAAAGGCGGTCAGGGTGAGAGAGAAACTTAAGGTCATCAGTGAGAGTAAAGGCAGAATAAATATTCTTATGAGAGCATAGACTAGGAGTTGAAAAATTCAACCATCACGGGGAAAGGGGGGCATATTGAGAGCAAGAGAGATAAGGGAAGGCAATGAGCCACTTACCTGATGAGCTTGTGTAAATGGATGGTGGAAATGAGGTAGGGTCCTTAGCAAAGTGAGAAAAACGGCTAAGAGCCACAAGGGATAGGGAGTTGTGGAGAGCCATGATTGCCTAAGTCCTGAAGGGACGTGGCACATAGTAGAAGCAGCAAAGGAATGTTTTATAAGTGCTTACAAGGAAAAGAAATATAAGATGGGTTGTGGAGTATCGACAAGCAAAATATTTAAAGATAGCAGGAGATAAAAATGGTCGGCTGTTCACTCCTTGAAAAATATAGGTGACAAAAGGGAATGGAAAGAAAAGGGGGGGAAAAAAATCAACACACACAAATAGGTACAAATCAGGCCGTGAGATCATAATGAAAGATGAATAACTGTCACTCTTTTTGAGAATGATGACTCCAATCAATTAATTAACAAAGATTGAACAGAAGTACATTATTGATGAGGAACAACTAATTAACACCCAGGTACTTGTCTGCTGCTATTAACCACTTAACTCATTGAAATAACCCAAAATAAGACAACGTTTCAGCTGCTGATTATCACACTGAAAAATTGGATGTGAAAATGTCTAGGTACAATTTACAGTTGTGAATTCTTTTTTTACTTTCAAATGTAAAGTAAAATCTCTAAATAGACGAATAGCAGGTATCCTTTAGTCACCCAAAACACAGAGAAATGAACAGTTGGCGCCCTTTTTAAATGGAGACAGTTCTGACCATTTTAGCAAGAGAGACATTATCACACAAAATCTATTCAATACTTACAGTTAAAATATTAATATTTTACTGTTAGACTTGCCAAACCTAGAGATTTAGAACTAACTTCAGAAAAACGGAGATTTTACCTAAACAAAAAAAAAAAAAAAAAAAAAAAAGGAGAGATTTCAAAACCGGCCTCAAAATGTTAAGCAAATTTTTGTCAGAGTTTACAGCAATTACTGCCAAAGGAAGTAAGTAAACTCATTTCAGGCCAATGTTGTACTTGTGAACAAACCCCAGTTTAATAATTGATCTGTTATCGAAAAATTATATCTACGTAATAAATTAACCGAAATGTTGAAACCGTTTTCAAAATTGTACAGGCGGACTGAATCTGGAGTATTTTGACCCGCCAGTCTTTTTAGTGGAGAAAACAGAATTTATTTGCAAGGAGAATCTTTTAAAAACTGATAAACTCGGGGACAGACTGTGGGGTCACTCACATCATAGCAGTAGGAATAGTGTCGTGTTCTTCCCGGGAATAATAACATACAAAGAAATAACACGAAAAGCATGTTAAAGTGTAAATTTAAAATCATATTTCTGCGTACTTGTGTGTGTGTTTGTGTGTATTTATTTTAGTTATGCGTTTTACGGTTGCATATGATAGAGGAAGAAAATCACTTCGTCGTATGACAAACAAGGTACCGTGGAGAAGAAATGGACGTTTTGTTGCGAAGTGAGTTTTTTGGCGCGAAGAATCCATTTCTCAGAAAAATTTTCCGTTGCATGCTGGGAAAACTTTAACTTTTTTTTTTTTTTTTTTTTAAATTTTAAATAAAGTTTTATTCGTTTTACTTACGATATCTATTATCATTATTTTAATTTTTATTTGTAATAATGTCCCTACAAGATCAACGTTTAAAAATTAATAAGCGGCAGAACACTAGTTACGAACTGAAAGAGTGGTATAAAGAAAACAAAAATGGAGAAAGTTGACAAGTTTGTAATATAGTGTAACCCGGATATAAGAGAGATTTTCTCTGGTCCCAAATTAGAGCCTGTGTTAGACCAAACCCGGATATAAGAGACTTCTCCGGTCTCTTATATCCGGGTTACACTGTACCTACATTGCTACATATGTTCAAAAGCTGCCAAGTATAATTTTCAATAAGTTATTAAAAAAAAAAAAATTACGTCGAATGTTTATTTTGCAAAAAATATCCAAAACAATGTCTAACTAAAAACGACAAAAATACTTGCAATTTCGATTCATCCGTTCCTTCCACACTCAAGAATATTCTGTTGGGAAGGGGAGTACTTAAAAAAAAAAAAAATAGTCATTGACCATTAATATATACTAAGCGGATCAATCCATTTCCTCAGTGTCAAGGGGTACCAAGTACCCAGCCGGTTCCAAATTGCCCAACACCCACTCTTCAGCATAGAAAAGTATACGTTAAATTTGAATATGTTAATTAATATATTAATAACGCCTTGGGAACTTCGCGACATAATAGTTTTAGTAAGATCAGTAACAACATTTGTTTTGTTAAAATTTTTTATTCGTTATCTGAGTTCATTCCCTCATCATCATTTCATGAAATTTTTATATATTTTTGTAATTAGACATTATGAACTTTCATGTGATTTTTATAACATGGGGTGTTTTTGTAGGTCCTCTGTGAATATGTGGTATTGTGGTATATGTATGATCGAATGGCGAGGGATGATTTATTGTGGTAATACAGTGTAACCCGGATATAAGAGAGATTTTCTCTGGTCCCAAATTAGAGCCTGTGTTAATGTATATAAAATAGACCAAACCCGGATATAAGAGAAACCCGGATATAAGAGACAACTTCTCCGGTCCCGACAACTCTCTTATATCCGGGTTACACTGTAAATGGATAAATTGTATTGGATGAATGGGTCGGGATTGTGACTGACTAGGATAGTTAGCGAAGACCAGCCTTTCTCCACTTCCCCTCTGGCCTTGTGCCACAATTATTGTATTTTTTACGGGTAGGAATATCAATTACGACTGAGTAGTAAGTTCGATCCTCGCTGTGTTTCCCATACTTTCGGCCTTATGCCACATCTAAGCTACGCTTATTAAAGCACAGGAGTGTAGTGTAAATTTAGTAATAATTACTAATTAAACTGAATTTTGTATTCAAACAAAATCGGTTTCCAGTTCAACTTTTTTTTTCTATTTCACCAGGAAACAAACATTTCATTCCAATTAAGTAGATTGTCCTAGTTTATTACTGGGATTTAAAGAAAACATATATCAGTAATGGCTGCAATTCCAGAATGCCTCCACCCGATACCTTACTCATAGGATAGAGAGAGTTCAGTCAGGTGTCCTCCTAAACGAAAAGTGTCTCTAAGGAAATTGACAATTTCTGTCAACATCCATATTGTGATCTTATGTCGAGCCTACCAACATAGGTGAATAGAATACTAGTTAAAGAAAGTAAATCAGTGCTTGAGTATCAGTAATAATACAGCGGTAATTCTTTGATTTATCTTCTTCTTAAACCGTACCTTGATTTTCCGGACGTGAAATAAACATCGTTAGTAATATTTCCAGTTCATTCTGTGCTCTTATTTTTCAACACGTATCTCGTCTGATTTCTTAGGGGTTGAAATGGTCTTGAATTCGAATGATAAAACAGAACTAAAAAGGCTATTGCCACAACAAATATACATCTACTTGTAAATCCAGCTTCGGGACTTAGCGACAACCCCCTCCACTAAAAAAAAAAAAAAACCGGGAACCAAACAGTTAATTTCAAAAACTAAGAATATGATATTAACAATATCCTTACAATTTATATCTAAATATACATAATAAATTATCCGGGTCATGAAATGAACATTTTGAATGACTGACAAGTCATTTTGTGGTTTTACTTTAACACAAGTATCGTCTTTGTACTTGCTGAACTTACGCTTTTTTGAAATTGAAAAGGCCTCCAATTCGAATGATAAAAAAAAAAAAAAGTGGGTAGTGTTATCTGTTCAGGAGAAATTAAAATGTTTGTGACATGCTGCAGAGAAAAATCTCCAAAACCGAGATCATGGCAAAATAAAATATGGAGAAATACAGTCAACGTCAACGATATTTTGAAAAGTGAAGTTTTAAGATTTTGAAACGAACGAAGTGTAAGTTGGGAATATTCACATCCATATTCAACAAAGTTGATAGTACTTTATATTTTATGGTTTCAAGAAAAAGAATTTCCAGTCACTGCCTTCCCACCTCCCATTAACCATTATTAACCAACGAGGTTTTACTGAGGCGTGGTTATTGCTCCTGTTCTTTAAAGTGGGACTATGTTTCTCTTCATTTTAGATGAAAGAAGTTGCTCAGCCCTGAGGATTCCAACTCTGCGGCAACAGCTTTTTACTATTGCATGAAGAGAGGTGGGTCAGTGTAATGGGTAAAGACCCCAATTTTTGTCCTTGGCCTACGTATGGCACTCCCCAACATTCAAACGAACTTGTGTCACATCCAGCCTTGGTGGTAAAGCCAGGTAAATATAATTCTCCCTTTTTAAAGGCGTCTGAATTTCGCATTTCATTTAATAAAAATTAAACTGGAGAAAATCTTGAACAAAGATTGTGAAAATGTTATTTGATGATTTATTTATGAATATGACTTTTTTTTTCTTTTTCGATAATCTAGGTATTCAATTACCTGGAATTTTTACCCAAATTATCTGAACATCCTTTTTTAACCTGTGTCCCAAGGTGTCCAGGTAATCAAAAAAGTGCTCAATAATGAATCCAGTTCAAATGTCTCACTGGGGATGAATGGCTAGCAATCAATTGATAAAAGTTTACAGTACAAGAAATTAAAATGATCTCTCTTTGTCTCTGCCACAAAAACTAGTAACTGTGTATCAATCACTTTTATCTGATTAAGCACTTTATGGAATTTGTGTCATTTTTTTTTTTTTTTTTTTTTTGCAATGAATCAAATCTAATTGGTAAAATAAAAACAGAATTTTTGCCTATTGAGAGGAACAGGTGTCCTCTCAGGGGGTGGGGGGGTCTCATGGCTTGAGGGTCTATTGCGACTTAAGCTCAAACCAGACCACAAGTGAAACTCATACATATGGTCCATCATTAAAGATGCTGAAAAAATGATTGGTTCTCTGTACCATTCCAGCAAGTACCTGACTCCTGATATTCTCTACCTTTACAAGAGCCAGATCAGGCTGAAAATGGAGTACTACTGCCACATATAGGCAGGAACTGCCCAGTCTTCACTTCCAAGTATGGCAACGATGAACTACATTACTTAATTTCACCCATTCTAACTTTCATGGTAAAGACTTACCATGGCATACACCATTATAGCAAACCACCCTCATTTCTTTCTTATACCATTGAATATATTATTGTATTGTTGTTGTAAGTTTCTACTTTATGGAACTGCTTTCCTGATCACTACAATCTTAACTCGTTCAAATTTAGGGTTAATAGTTATCTTCTGCACATATCCTCATAAACTGTGACCCTTCCCACTTATTCTGTAACCCTCTACCTCAAGTGGCTCTTTGGCCTTGTACATGGTGAACATTATTGTAAAATGTAATTCCTATTTAAAATATAGTTTTGAATCTCTCCCCCTCCTCTTCAATTTAATGGCTAAGGTCATTTGTGTAATCCAAAGAAAAGAAAAGAAAAAGAAAAAAAGAAGTGAAAGAAAAGAAAAGAAAAAGAAAAAAAAGAAGTGAAAGAAAAGAAAAAGAAAAAGAAAAAAAAGAAGTGAAAGAAAAGAAAAGAAAGAAAAAAAGAAAATAAAAAGAGAAAAAAGAAAAAGAGAAAAAAAAGAACCAATCATACCAAAGTAAAACCTCAATTCAATATAAAAGCATTCAGTGTTATCGATAGATGCACATGAATAAATTTTATCTGCCAGAGTCCATACATCCAGTTCATATATTACTGGCCCTGATCTATAGTCGTTTGACTTCAGTCACTTTCCCTTCATTGTAAGGTTGCCTTTCTATATCTTTTCTAGAAATACTTTCATGATAATTGTTCGGATAAGCTCTTCACAATGGTGCCTAGACTTTTTTTTTAATTTAAGGGAAGTATTAGACTATAGCACCTAAATCTCATCGATTTACAATTCAGCTGGCTAGATGTAACCGTAAGTTCTACGCTAACAGTTTCTTTTCTTGTACTTCTCGCTTGTGGAACTCCCTTCTGGCTCCATGCTTTCCAGCCAACTTTAATCTGCAAAAATCTAAGTGCAATGTCAATTGCTATCTACTATCCACCTGATTACTCTTTTCTTTTCCAGCTCATTATTAATGTATCTGTTCCTAATTCTTCCACACCCTGTAACCTCTTGTGTCTTAGTGACTTTACTGCCTTGCATGGGGTGATACTGAATAAAAATAAAAAAAAAATTTCTCTTTTTAGAAATCTATAAATGTATTTGTGGATCAATATTTTAAAAAGAATTCAAGAGGTTTATACAAAAACAAATCCAGCAACAATTCTCTCACCTGTGCTCAGATAATCATATCATCCTTTGACAACTCACAATTCATTTGACAACTGAGACTCTTAGCAGAAAGAAAACAAAAAAGTTAATTGAAAAGTACTTGCTGCATGAAAATCCAGAGGATGTAATGGCTGAATGTCATACTATAAGCTGCACACACCTGTCGCTCAATGATGACAACACCAAATTGACATTTGATCTTCTTAAATCTATCAGTAGTAAAAATTATCTGCTGGACATCACCATCTGCTGTCATTTGTAAAAATAGAAGAGTTAACTGTTATTAAATTCCTTGCTGTTATCAATGATAAATAAATAAAAAAGCAATAGCCAAGTAATCAGCTTCTTTTCCATAATAATTTTTACTTAAATATTAAATTTCAAATGTGTATTTAAATTACAAAAACAAGATTATTTCTTGAACAATCTATATATTAATACTGTATTATTTACCGATATTCCTATGTAAGGTTTTCATAATGCTTCTGAGGTAGGCTACAACTATTACCCATGAGGCAGTTGAGTGCATACTACTTCCAGTGAGTCAGTTACACTACACTACAATTGCATCACCAATATCTATCCCTTGATAATTATGAATATACACTAGCATGGATTAGGGTACTGGCAGCTAAAACTAGAATAAAAAAGTTAAAGCATTCAAAATCAATAAGAGGAGAAAACCAAATAACTGATCTCTTGTTGGCAACTGCCGGTTGTGAGGCCATTATAAAAGTATCAGCAATTACACACCCAAGACAGTTGGGGGCAATAATGTTTGATGATATAAGTCAACTAATAGGGAAAAACATAACACCTAAGAAAAAAAAACAAAAAAACTAGTGAATTCAGAGGGAGCTAAGATTATGAATATTTCTCAAAAAGTGAATGAACCACTTAATGTATATGTTCTTCATTTAAAACAGGCCGTTAAATATTGTGAATTTGAGAAACTGGGATCAGAAAACAAGTTATGGATCTGGACACATACACAATAAAGAAAAAAGATAAACATATGAAGTCCCAAAAACTATAAATAGCTACAGCTATTATCCATGAGGCAGTTGAGTGTATACTACTTCCTGTGAGTCAGTAAAACTAAACTATAGCTTCAAAACAAGAAATATTATATAAATTTCCACCCACTTTAAGAAATCAAAGGGGTAAAGGAGTATGAAATCTCAAGTCACTTATCATCCAGTTCACATTACTTCCTGGTCTTTTGAACAGGAGTAGAGGTTTATCCATTTTTTCTTGTTTAGGATTGGTTTTCTGGTTTCTTCTAAAACATACTTTAACCCGATACTTCTAACATCTCTGCCGGAACTCTGAAATTTTATTTACTATTTTTCCTCAATAACAATAGCTATGTTTGCCTATCGTCCAGTTCACACTCCTCCCTCATCTTTTGGACAGGAGTAGAGGTTTATCCTTTGTTTCCGGTTCCTTCCTAACCCTAACCCTTTCTCCTTTCCTGTTCATTCTTTGCATCTTAGTGACATTATTTCCTTGCTTTGGGTGAATTAAAAAGAAAAAATGACAAGTCTTTTTTTTTGTGTCTCCAACCATTCTCTTTTTATTTGAAACTTGTATTTTTTTTTAATCATCTTTCACTCAGTTTTCTTTCCTCCATACCATCTTTCTCCCTTCATTTTCCCTCATTGCACTGTTGATGTAGAAATGGATAGGCAGTATAACATTTTGTAGAAAACACACAAATAGTACCTTCTGCTCCTATAAAGAAGCAACGAGAAGCAACAATTTGATCCTTAGCAGAGCGTACAAATAAGTACCTTCTAAAGACAAGAAGGGTAAATTTAAAACTAAGTACCTATGTAGACGAATAAACACAGTTAAGAATGAAATTCGAAAGATAAGCAAAAAAATA